CCCAGAACCCACATAAAAAAACCCAGGCCTGGTGATGCACGCTTGTAATCCCAACACTGGAGAGGTAGAGACAGGAGGATCCCTGGGTCTTGCCAGCCATCATCTTAGCTAAATTGGCAAGCTCCAGGCAAATGTCAATCACTGTCTCAATGGAGGTGAATGGCATTCCTAAAGCTGACTGCTGTCCTTTGGCCTTCACATACATGTGCTAATATTGAAATCCACTAGCAACATTCGTAATTAAATATTCACTCCATAAATTAAATGTGTTAGCCATATTCATAAGTAAAGAAAATGCTAAATATTGCTTGAGGTTATAAAAGCTGTAGGTATAATATTTTCCAATCCAGGTTCATAACTTCCTGGGATTTGTGGTCCCTTGGACTGAAGACTCTAGTCTGACTCACCTTATTTTTGTATGCCAGACTACTTTCCAGGTAAGAAAGAAAACAAGAGATCAGAGCAGTAAAGTGGGCTAAAGTCACACACTGAGCGTGAGAGAACTGAGACTTCCTTCTCTTCAGTAACGTCACTCTATACTCTCAGAGGTCTATTCCCCATCGTCTATATGAAGAAATCTGATTAGGTAAATTTCTGAGAAGTACATAACTTCAAAAGAAATCTCAGAGGGCTGATATGGCTTGGATGGTAGAGTGATGAGTAGCATACATATAAAGCCCGGAGTGCAATCTCCAACTTTGCCAGACGTTTGTCATGGTGGCATACAGAGCCCAGAATTCAGGAAGGGGAAGAACCGAGGATCAGAAATCTAGGACATTCCTAGCTGCATATGGAGCTTGAGTCCAGACTGGGTTATTTAAGACTCTCAAAACCTCTTGTGCACACCTGCCTACATTGGTGCTCTGGGTCTTCTGCTCTTGTCCTCCAGCCTTTCCCCTCTCTGAAGTTCCTGGACTCCAGGCACAGCTAGGAAAGTTACTGTTCTGATTCACTGAGGTCTCATCCAGTCCAGGTGCTACTCCTTAGATATCTGGCTGTTCCTAGCAGTGACCCCTCAGGTCCACAGAAATATTCTGGTTCAAATGTCCTGCAGATATATCCTCAGCTCTCTTTGCTGCTACCTGCCAAGTTGGGAGGCGACACCTACTCAGAGGCTCGACTATGGCCATGTTACAAATCCTCCCTCCATCTACTGCCAGAACTCATGCAGGGTGCTCCTCACATGCCAGTGGTGTGCCTCTGCTCAAGACATTGCCCTCTGCAGACGGCTGCCCTTCGAGCCAGCGCCTTCTCTGAGAGTCATGGGACGAATGAGCTGGGAAGGATGGCTGCGTAGCTCTGGCCAAGTCTTTCCAATCAATGAACTTCAGGGGGGTGGTAAGTGCCAAGAGTTCCCAGACTTCCTGGACAAGACTTTCTTAAAAACAAATTCCCAGGCCCCATCCCACTCACTGAATCAGCATCTCCAAGAAAGAGGATGAGGAAGCTTCATACCTCCCCTCCGCCACCCCCCAAAGAGCCCCAGGGAACTGGACTTTGAGGAAGTGTGGAAATCTCCCACTGGGAGTGAACTTGGCTAACTGACCATCAGCAGTATTTATGGAGCTTTGAAAAGCTCCAGCCACCTAGTACCTAGTCCACAGACTGCTATTCTGAAGCTCTTGGGCTCTATGGTCCCAAGATGCATATGCTGTGTAATCATACCTTTCCAGGGGTTCTGGCTGGGTCCCCTCAGGAGCTAGCATGCTTACTACCTTTGCATCCTAATAAGGGTATTTGAGACTACCCTTAACCATAAACTGCAGGCCTGTTTATACTTATTGACACAAATAGTGAAAAAAAAAAGTCAATTTCCAGTGTTGAAGATTATACAATCTTTACATAAAAATTTCAATCCCCAGCCTTCCTTGAAGTCATCTACACACATGAGACCTAAATTCCCACCTGTCAAAAGTGGGCTAAAGGAAAGCAGTAAGTCCTCTTTAGAGGACCTGAGTTCCCCATCTGTCTCTGTCCCTGCTACTTACTACTGTTCCCAACACTGAGGCTGAGTATAGATAGGTTACCTGTTAGCATCGTGTGTGTATTTTCTTTCACTCAGTAAAAAACTTCATCTCTATCCAAATTGGGAAAGGTAATAAACGAGCCAAGAATCCATTGTGTCTAAACAAATACGTCTCTCCACCAGCCTTGTTTGCTTGTTTCTGTTATGAAATGCTGGGTTCACAGTACCCTCAGCTACTGTTTGGGATCATTTGGTGTTCCAAAGTTCAGGGAAATACAAAAAAAAAAAAAAAAAAAAAAAAAAAAAAAAAAAAAAAAACAAAACTGCCATATCCTCAAAATAGAGAGGTTGGCACAAGGCATCCACAGCTCCCTCCCCACACACACACACCCTGGCACAGTATAGAGAACATCCAAGCAAGGGAAAGTGATGCCCCTTGCTTGGACTAGAATTGGCATCGATGAAGAGAACTTTGTCAGAGACAGCCCACTGAAAACCTCAGGTCCTCAGGCTTGCTCAACATCCACCTTATGAACTGAGCCATCTCCCCAGCCTTAAAGCATCTCAAAAGATAAGCAGTTCTCAGTAATGCCTACCGGAAGACCCAGGAAGACTTTGGTGGCTGAAACCATCAGCACCTAGTGGCAGTAAAGAATAATCCCAGGTTCAAATAACATTCACCAACATGGACCTACGCAGGAGCAGAGCATCAGAGCTGAGTTTCCCTTAGAATGGCAGCAGACACCAGCCGGCAGGGTGCCAGTGGCCAAGTGTTCCACCAGGACAGAAGGGTCCTGAGTACATGCCATACCACACACATTCCCATGACAAAGACTCTTCATATAACTGTAGGGTGACAACTCTCACTTCAGAGATTCTGCCAGAGAAATGCCAACCTTGTTCTAGCCCTCACCTCCCTATCAAGAACCTAAATTATGATCCAGCCCTTCAAATGACCTGTATCACTGCAGCACAAATACACAGGGCTCCCACAGCAATGCAGAGGGAATGGGGCCTATGAGTCAGAAATCCTGAGAGTAGAAACAGGAGGACCCCATACTCTATTCCAGAGACGCTCTGCCTTGGTGGTGTCCCCAGATTATTGAAGGGAGGGTGGCTGCCTGCCCTTACTCCAGGCAACAAGTCCAGATAGCAGAACTCATCAAAGCCGCACAAAATCCTATGGAGTCTGTCTAGAAGAGTAATAAAGATAATGACCATTACATGGCAGTTAGTGCCCAGCAATAAGCAACTGACCTTCAGTATCTTGGCCCTCATAAAAATCCTAAAAGGCGCACCTCTCCCTGACCACACACACACTTCCCAAGAGCCCAGGCACAGGGCCTGTTTCTGCTCTCTCTTTCCACTGCCCTCACCAAAGTTCACGAGTCTTTGAACCTGCTTCCTCATCGACCTCATAGGTTTCTGTATGGGTCACTTCCTTGCAGGTTTAATAAGAGATGGAGAGAAGTAAGAATGAGTAAGGCTGAGACCTAGTAGGTACTCACTAAATATTTTTATACACACACACACACCACACCTCCCTTCCTGAAGGTGACTGTTAAATCAGTGCTAAAACCCTGCTCTCCCCAGCCATTCCTCCCAGCAGTTTAAATGTTCCTGACATTCGGGCCCACCCCTCCAGTACCTTCACGAGGAAGGCAAGTAGCCCAAACTCGCCCAGGGCAGATTTTCCTCGAGGTCACTCCTGCCCGCTCCATATTGGTCCAACCCACCCATAGTTCATCCTTTCCTCCAGTCCAGCCACCCTGGCAATACCTTTGAATCCCTCACCTGCCCATACATTCCCTATACCTGACCAGCCCCCAGCCCACCTGGAGCTTCCTAAGCACAAAGCCTGGGGTCTCCCACATCCCTGGCTCGCATATGCCCAAGCCGGCTGCTCCGGACTCTCCAGAAGCACGCTGCAACACAGGTCGCAGCCAAACAAGAGCCTGGACGCTCGCCAGAGGCTCGTCGGAGGCCGGCCGGCAGGCCGGGCGGGGCTGGGAGAGTTAACCCAGGGCGGAGGAAGAAGCTCCGGCTCCCCATTCTCCTCCCTGTGCCTTCAACACTTGGAGGGAGGGGGAGGGGAAGGCAGGAAATGCAAAGTCGGTGGGGACCAGGACCCCCCGCGCCGCCAAGCTGGGAGGCGCGGCAGCGCACCCCAGTAGACCTGCGACCTGGCGCGGTCCCCGACAGCGTCCTGGCCAGCTTGCTTTCCAAGAGAGTCACCCAAAGGAGAGGGTGAGAAGCAGAGTCCCTCAGGATCCGTCCAGCCCCGTCAGAGGAGCGCTCTCTCCGGAGAGATGCGCGCATCGCTGCACCAGCGGCTGGGAAGCAGGAGCCCGAAGAGTGCAAGCTCACTCCAGTAAGAAAGTCCTGGACGCCAACTGAGCCGAGGACTGAGGGATGGCTCCCGGTGGGTACAGCTTCGCTCATCTGCCTACCCGACCCCGGCCTGTTCCTAACCCTAGGAGGAGCCCGTTCCGCACGGGGTGCGACTGAGGATGCGGGGAGAGTGGCAGGGTCAGGCGGGTCCCAGAGGCTCAGCCACCCACCTGATGCAGGTCCCGGGACGTTGGACGCCAGAGCGCACAGGATCAAGAAGAGACTCGTACCACCGTGCATGGCCAGAGTCGGGTGGCCGCCGGACGACCCCTAGCGCACGCCTTCGTCTGTCGCGTTTGCGTCCCAGCCGGGGCCCGGGTCCGACTCAGGACATGCCTGGCCGCAAGCAGCTCTTAAGTAAGGTCCAGGTCCCGAGTCTAGCCGGCGGGCAGCTGCACTCGCTCCTCCGGCAACAAAGACTGCAAGGACCGCCCCCTCGGCCAGCTGCCGAGGCAAAGAAAGAGAGCGAGAAGCAGAGAAAGAAAGAAAAGGAAGGAGGAGGAAGGGGGAGCAGG